GGGATACGGTATGCCCACTCATCGTCGCGCTTGAGCATAGAGTGAATGACTCCTATACCAATCTCCTGGCCTAAACCCCAACAGAAGTTGACATATGTGGTCAGATAACCACGCAGAGCGACTGGACAGACCTCGGATGCATAGGTGATTGTTAGTGTTTGAAAGATGCCCCAAGGAATACCGCAAAGGATCTCGGCTACAAGCAGAGTCTGAACGTTCTGGGCAGTAAAGAAGATGGTTGTGAAACCAGCTACACAGACAAGACATGCCATGACAGTATAACGATAACCAAATCGTTCTGAGATCCAACCATTGATAAAGAGGCCAATGATCTCACCGCAGTGAGCTCCCTATAACGCTGACCGTGAGCGTCTGAACCAGGAATTATGGAAGGAAGACTTACGTTGCTTAGACCAGCTTGCCAGGGGGCTGGCACCTGATACTCTCCATCATCACCCAGAACACCATACTTTTTGTTAAACTGAGGAAAGGCATCTAGGAACAGGTGTTAGTGGAATGGCCACGACTACTGTATCTGACAATGTGTATGGGTATCGGGTCATCAGGTGGGCTTGGGCACGTACAGAAGTTATTAACAAGGGAGATATCATAGCCCTCCATTACGATACACGTGGAGATGAGGACACTCCAAAAGATAGCCTTAGGGTAGAGCTTGATACCTTGGCGAAGGGTCATGTTACGCTCTTTGTGAGCTGCGGCGCGAGCATGCTCGACAATGCTGACGTGCGTCTTGTTCGGATCCTGAATGTCCACACCGGCCGGAACACCGGCGGTAGTATCTGAGGGCGGGGCCGTAGCCGGAGCCGGCGACACCTTGTCTTGGGTGTCGGCCATGGCTTCAGCTGCTTCAAGCTGCGACGCTCAATATCAACGCGATAACCAATCAAGTCTTGTCAACCAAGACTAAAGAAGACAGAGAGGATTGCACCTAATGGAGCAGCAGCCAGGGCAAGAACAGTATCAAGTATAATGCCTATGATCTGTTCCTGGTTTTCTATAGGCGGTGTCGAGTAGCTCACGGGTGAATGAGGTATACAGGTTTGAAGTTGGGCATGTATGAGGGAAGTGTCACTTCAAATAGGCCCAGTCGAGATACGCTGTCAGATAAGAGAGACAAGAAGTGTACGATAATAATGATGGCAACAGCTCCTGGTGCACGACCTGTAACAACAAGTGCGTAGCAGCAACAGAGATTAAGCAAAGCAAAGAAGAGGACACAAGAAGTGAGAAAGACTGATGGGGTAATGGGAGGGACCCTTTACTGGTAAAAATGGAGCCAGAGGTTGATGATTTTTATCCTAGGGGCGGATAGTCGGATCAAAGCGGGACAAGCCATGCCAGACCGAGCATGGCAGAATCATTATAAACACTAACAGATCAGCAGGAACAGAGGCAGACAGTAGCACGTGTGTGAGGAACATAACTGCCTATCTGACGGTACTCAAGCATACCCATACTTACACGTCTGTACATTACAAGTGGAGTCTTTGATTTCACTCTTTTAGATATGTGTCGATTTTGTTCTAAGAACAATATCGAATGTAAAGTAGCAGCAAACTGGGAGAATCAATATCACATCTACTTACTCTAGCTCCAACAATCAGTCTTGATGAATTTTACATTGACAACAAACGTCTACGATTCAAGCTTATCTCTCTCCAAAGTTGGAGGGGAAAAAAAACATCCATGACTGCGGAGCCTCATCTTGGCTAAACTCTCCTTGTCTCCAACGCCCAGGAGCTAGAACAAATCGATGGCCAGTTAGCGCCACCAAATCTTGCAAACCCCTGGAGCTACTGGCAATAATTGGAGCACTCTTTCCACGGCCGTGGTGAGGCCGATAATTCCTCACCGACCATTTCACCCTACCTTTCGTGCCGAAGACTCCAGTAATATGGCAATGTTTGAGCTGAGGAGTTCCGGAGCTATTGACTGTCTAGACTACTCAAGTTTTCTTGCCAGTAATGAAGGGATAATTGATATAATCCTGATCATCCATTGTGAGAGGAATTGGGGTCAGTGTTACTCCAATTCTCCAAAGCCAAGACACGGGTTGGCTCCACTTTTGACTACCTACAAATCGTGAAGCGACTCAAGTCTACTTTTACAAATAACTGCGATCCAACTATCATCAATTGGTGGATTGTTGTCACTTACCACGATGCCACCGTGCGGGGACTTTAGACAGTCTCTAATCAAAGGTTCGGGGAAGAGGTGGGGATGTCTATCTAGTTTGGGGTAGCGGTAGTAAAGCACTTCAATACTGATACCATTCATTGCAGGCGAAAATGTCAACTCAGTTCATTAGAATTTAAACTATTTCTTTACTCAAGTACTATCGACGCCCAAACTTAACATTTCAGACTGAGGAAGATATAAAGGCAATAGCAAGTAGAAGAGCGAACAACGAGCTCACAGAAGGTTTTGTCTGAGATGCAGTATCTTCCTCGTCGTCATCCGCCTTCTTTTTACCATCAGGATGATGATCGCTTGGCTCCTCATCGGAAGGCTGCGGCGTCAATATCCAGACACTACTCCTGTTGCCACGAAGTTCGCCGCTTGCAAGGTCAACTGTAGCCGTCGAACCGAGGATCTTGCCACTTTTACTGATGCCAACTGCTCGAGCAGATCTGGGAGGCGGTAGTCCTAGCCCTTCGAGATGGATTTCCGTTTCAAACCCGGACCGGGACGAGTTTGCAAGAAGTCTGGGAGTAGAAGTGACGTTTGCCTCATCTTCGACTGCGTACTAGTATAGGATTAGTTCGGTTATGTTGCATAGTTTCATAGTAACATACCAACTCCCATCTATGAACTTGGGTATCGCCATTCCAAGACACATAAACGGTAGCATTTAATATGTCTTCCCCAAGAGCTGATGAAGCAATAGAAGGACCCCATGGGGGCCGGCCAATCCAATCCATCTTCCAGGCACGATAAACAGATATATCGGTATCTGGGTCGGTTTCGGGCATGTGGGGGATCACCCCTTGTTGAATGTCCATCACGACCGTCCCGCTGGACGAATGTTCGGTGATGCCCGGGTTTACACCCCAGCCGACAAGAAAGTTTCCATTGTCCAAGCCCTGGACACTGCCTCCTGAACCAGACGATATTTTCTGCGGATGATAAAACTCATGTAAGAGCTGAACTGTCATTTTTTCATAGTCGAGTTCCACAACAACACCCCGAGAACAATTATCGTCATCGCACATTCCGCTTTCAGTGACTTGGTTGTCAAAGAAGCTCAATCGGCTCTCGTTGCCTTGAACGAACCTTGCGTTGTATTGGTTAGCGAAGTTGATCGCGTTGCCGCCGCTGAGGTCTTTGAACTGATTGTGTTTCCCTCCAAGAATCCATTGCGGATCTAACGTATCAGCATGGAGAAGGATAATCGCCGACAATCCTCTTGATGAGACGAGATAATGATTCTTCGAGGTCTGCATATTGTGAGCATAGGTTTAGGTGAGTTGGAAAGCAACTTACCTTGAAAACGCTGTCTATATGAAACCAGTCGAAGCCATGGCCGCCCATGTAGGTCTTTTCTGGATCGTAATCAATCATCGTATCAGTCAAGTTGACGTGTGTAAATGATCTCCACACATTGAAGACTCGATCCGTATCAAGATCAACCTCTTGGAAAATGGAATCACTCAGCCAGCCATCTATGTCTCCCCCAAGAACAGTCAAGTTGTACCTGACATCCTGGTACGCAGTCAAAAGAGCAGTTCCCTGGGTGGTGAATTCGAAATCGTGGATGTCGGCCTCGACAGCTCCCAAGTCCCGGACTGAAACTGACCATTTCAGTTGATAGTTGACATCGAAAGCGTGGCAGCGGCCACCTTCAATGAAGGTGAGATACTTGCCTCCATTCCTCACCTGTGCGCGGGCATCGAAAGTCCGTTCGTACTTGATGTCGGCATACACAAGGCTCAAGTCTTTGCTTGAAAATATGGCAGGCCCCGATTTGTCGCCATGTTCCAATGTGAGGAAGAGAAAACCAGAACTATCGACAAGACCGGGCTCAAAGATGTTGATCTGAAAGACTGGAGCGACCGCATCTGAAGATTTGAAGGTCTGAGAAGGAAACTGGCCGAGAAATCCCTTGTTGTAGACCGCTAAGTCTTTGATAGGGTCCACGTCTGCGAAGGACAGAGCAGCTAGCAAAGCAATTGCTATCGTTTGCACCAAAATTGAGAGCATCTCAGGAGTGAAGAACGAGTGTGAGTGTGTATAGGAGCAATTGAAGCAAGATCAAAAGTAGCAATCAGAATTTGATAACAGAGTTCCAAGAAGACTCCAAAACTGTGCGTGCAGAGGGAGAAAAGGCCAAGTTCGTCACCACGCTCGATGTAAGACAAGAGGTTCAAACACATTTGAGCAGTGTTCAAGAAGATGGCATTCGTTACCGGGTGGCAGTCGCACTGGACCGTTCTGTCCTCCTTCCCTTCATGAAGCGTGAAACTGTAAAACGTGAGGCAGGAACAACTGAGGGAGATCTTCCATGGCTTCCTACTAATTATGCAGTGTCCAAGTTTACACGAACAATAGAAGGATCCATGTCGTACATCCTGCCACAAGGTCCCTTGCATTGATCAGGTACGTGCCTGCCTGTCACCCACCTTATTTGTTCATGAATCATTTCGAAGTCAGTGATGCCCGTGTAGGCAATTTCATGAGAAGGGCAGGACCTGCCGGCGATTGATCAATTTTCATACAAGAGCGAGGAAGTATTCATTAACCATATACTCGCAATATCTATCGCATCAATTTAGGACAACCTAATCCGAAATGTTTAAGAATGTTAAAATTACAACAAAGTGCGAGGTCGAATTTCGACACTACAGGGTGGTTGGATGACTAAGCTAAGCTCCATCAGCTTCATTGTCGTCATTACAACTTCACTCAGTTTCTTCTATCTTAATACTCTAATTTCCTTTGTTGTACGTAATCTTGACTTTAGCCGTGACTGAATTTCAATCATGTCTGTCTCGTTTCTTCGTTCGCCTTTTATTTGCCGTCGTTGCCTCCAAGTATTACGCCGGTGTGGGACATTGCCACTTACTCACTACTCAACGCAAGCCGGCGCATCTAAGGTGGAGGAGCAACAGCCAAACAGTACCATAGAGAAGGAGAAAAAAAGTAGCGATGCACCAACACCAGAGAAGGAACCAGGTCCAATGGCTCGGCGCTTGGAAGAAGCCACAGAGGAAGCCCTCTTCACAGGCGGAAGAGCCGGGCGTCGAGCTGTGGAGGACGCGGGCTTCTCAGAAGAGCTCAAGGAGAGGCTTTTGAGCAAATTTGCCGATGCGGAGTTCAAATCCGAACATGCTAGTGCCTTTGCAGAAGCTGGCCTTTCATCATCGGCAGGTGAGGGCACACGGCATATTGCCTCGGCGCAAGCGTGGACAGGGGAAGAGCATACAGCAGATACAGTTCTTCGAATGCTGGACGATGCCAAAAAGCCCCTTGCTCCTGGTTTGAGGGGCAAATTTCAGCCGCCTCCTGTGGACATGCGACTGCGTGGACAACCAAAACAATCTGCTGGTGAGAAGGTCGCCAAGGCGAGGGATAAGGTGAACACCTATGTAGGAATAGGGGGCCAACAGGCAAAGAACGGCATGAGTGAGGATGAAAAGGAGGCATGGCGAAGGGAACTTCGAGAGCGCTTTGAGCCTGGAGCAAGAGCGCTGCCAAATTCAATCACGGGTCTTGCGGCTCTGGCAAACGAACGCATCGAGAACGCTATTGCGCGAGGGCAATTCAAGAACATACCACGAGGGAAGGGCATCGAGCGTGATACTCGCGCTGACAACCCCTTTATTGACACGACGGAGTATATCATGAACAAGATGATTCAACGACAGGATATCGTACCACCCTGGATAGAGAAGCAGCAGGAGCTCGCAAAAGAGGCGGCAGCATTCAGAGGCAGGTTGCGTAATGACTGGCGACGATTAGCGGCGAGGATGATTGCTTCTCGAGGTGGGCCACTGCAAGAGCAGATACGTAGGGCGGAAGAGTATGCTGCTGCAGAAGAAGTGCACAATCCGATCAGAAGAAAAAACGCTCATGGGGAAGTAGAAGAGCTGAAGGCTGCGTCGTCAGTGGTTGGAAGACCATTTCGTGATTCAGCATGGGAGCAAGCTGAAGCGAGTTATCACAAACTATCGATCGAGCGCCTCAATGCTCTGACGCGAAGTTACAACCTCATGGCGCCAGACTTGGCAAAGAAGCCATACTTCTCGCTTGATAGGGAACTCAAGGCATGTTTTGCTGAAGTTGCGCCTACAGTCGCTCGCGAGATTCAGGACCGTGCGACGGGTGGAAAGGCAAGGAGCTTGGGAGGAGGAGGAGACCAAGCGGGTAAACAAACTGGCCTACTGGAGACGTTGACTGGAAGTGATAAAGTCAAGGTGCATGTCGAGGCCCAGAGAAAGGCATATGGTCTGAAAGAGTGGTGGAGAGATGTGTGGAAGAAAAACTGAGTTTACAAATATTGGTTGGAAGTGAACAATTGACGCATATAGCTCAGCAACCTTGGATCTGAATATTGTTAAAGGCTGCTGTACCGTTATGTGAGAAGTTAAGAATATCAGTCTTTGGTATATGCTGTCCTATCTCTGATCCTCGGTTCATAAGACTCTTCGTTGTCCAAATTTATACATGAAGCCCAAAAAGAATATAAGTACCAACACCCTTATATATATAGCTCCGCAACACCATTAGTACCCAACTTTTTGTTCCACTTCTTAACTCCTTGTGCATGGCCTAGGCTCGTATCCCAGGAGCCTATGGCTCGCACCGCTATTTCCTATATATATCCGGTCCCAAACCAAACTCCTTGTTCGATGTCGTGTCAGTGCAATCCTTTTCCGTTTTGTTTCTATTTATACATAAGAAGAGCACAAACAACAGGGCACTAGCTCCTAGATTCGCCCTTCTTCAAGAACTTCTCGCTCGATCTCAACCTGTCCGAATTCCCCTGTGCGTCGTCGCTCCATGACCCAACGTGTAGCGCCACTGTCTTCCTCTTTGGTGTATGATATGCTGTCGGCTGAGCCTTTATGCCGGTGCCCCATACCAGGGCGCTTAGGAACAACGCTGGGCTCAACCATGCTAGCCCTATTGGAAGGCACTAAGGGGCTCACCATGGCTGATGACGGCATACTCTCTTCTGGATCCGACACTGGTGAAATAGGGTTGTCGTAAGACTTTGATGCAGGTCTGCTAACGTTGAGGGGGGGGATTTGAGCATCATTCTTAACATCAGTTTCAAGCTTAGCCAACGTTGGGACAGGTGGTGGGGACAGCGTAAAGCCAGGAATGCCACCTGTCAACGTCGGGCTTCCTGAGGCGCTTACGCTATCCGAGTCGTGGCTGATGGTAGAAAGAACCGAGTTCTTCCGGGTGTGGAAAGTCGTTGGGCTCATAAAGCTCTGACCCCAAGGTGAGGTGGACATATCGCCTCTTTCTGATCGTGGGGACCCGTTTTGGCTGGACACAAGGCTTGCTTGAGAACCCCCCCAAGCCCGGGACCTAAGCCGGAGAAGAGCAGATAAAGTCATCTCGTCGCCGCGATCGCCAAGAAGAGCAAGTTGAGCCAGGCCAGGGCTTTGCAGGGGCGTTGTTCCTCCAAAGCCAGGCATACCCAGACTCATGAACGAGTTTCTGTTAGAGTATTCGGATCGCTCTGTGATAGGCGTAAGGTTCGGTTCTCTTGATATCATACGCCCGCTGGTGCTACGATCTAAACCACCCTTTGGACCAAAGAAGCCACCATTGGCATATTCAAATTCTGGTCCTTGTTGTTGACCAGCTGAAAAGAAGCCAAATTCCTGACCATACCAGCCATCACAGTCGTTCGCCAGAGCGCTTGCATTGGCTTCAGCGATGATAGCATCGTCATCAAGCTCCAGATCGGCCATATTCTCATATGTATCATCGTAATCACCATAGTCATCGAAACTCTCATAGTCGTCCTGGTTAAAGGCATTATCATGGTCTGGCACGTCTACCGAATGATCTGGCGCAGGCAGGCTGGTTTCAACAGGTGGTGGTGTTGAACCGCGTTGGAACTTGCCCGATGCTGCCGCTTTATAAGCCGCCGCAGCGAGAGCAGCCTGATACGCTGCAAAAGGATCATCTCCCGAAGGAGACGACGATTGAACCGCAGCTGTGGGGGCAGGAGACGAATTGGGGACAGGGCTGTCCCTCACAGTTTTGTGTTCGACCTCTTCTTTTTCACCGGCACTCAGCGATGTATGAGCCGTTGTCTGAGGAATCTCTGAAGTCGCAGAGAGTGGTTCTGTTGAGTCAGATGCTCTATTCGGTTCATCTTGATTTGTGGATCGTTTCTGTGATTGGGCCTGCGCAAAGGCGCCTGCTATCGGTCGACCGAATTGATCGGTATCGTTATTGTCAAATATCGATTCGTCAAAAGGGGTATCATCCCATTCTGGAGGAGCAGCAAGATCCTCGGCGAATTCATTTCTCTCAAATTCTAACATGCCATCGTCGTAATAGAGCTCGTCATCGTTTAATGGGCGTCCAGTATTGATGGGTGGCAGGTCCTGGTTTTTCTGGAATGCAGCTTCATTCTCGAGACTGGGCACCCTCGGAATGTCCAATCCTTGAATTCCCAGCCCACCTGCCTCCATCTCTTGACTCATCCGCTGGTCGAGGGGGACTCTGGGAGACAACGGAGACAGCATCTCTGGCGTATATTGACTCATGGCAAACCCAATCCGATTACCCTCTGGATCCCTTGGGGTTGGCAAGAAGCCAGCGCTGCGAGGACTGGTTATCGATGATGTAGGACCCGATCGTTGAAAGACAAAGCCAGAAAAGTTTTCCTGGTCGTTGTCTGGATCAAGCTCTTCGTCCAAGTCGTCATCCATACTTCCATTAAGTGTGTTGTTCAGGTTGTTGTCAAAGGTACTGAGGGTTCTATTCAAAGTGTTGTTCATGTTGCCGCCCGCGTGGTCGTCCATGTGATCGTCCAGCCCATTGTTGAAATCAGCATCCATATCATCAAAGTCATCGCCAACCATGGGAATATCCTCTTCGAAGCCATCATCATCCATCATTGCATCGTAATCGAAGCCATCATCATCAAAATCCTCAAAGCGCGAGTCTCGTGGGGCAGATACATCTGCAGTCTTTTTCTCAAGCTCTCGTTGACGATGCCTATCTTCGAGAAGTTTCTCCTGTTTTGCAGCACCAATCATGTCGAAACTGAACCTCGACGACGTACTCTTCATATGTCGAGGTATCGCAGACGGTATATCCTTACCAGATAATCCAGATAGTGACGGGCCTCGCGACCTCCCTGCCTGGTGAGAAACCGACGGTCTATCATGGACATATGCATCTTCATCAATCAAACGCGATGCTCGGGGCGACTTTGGTTGAACTGAAATCGGTGCATCATCCTTAGGAGGTACTGGGGGCGCATCTGACAGTGTAAGAGCAACTAAGTCAGGCACAGGGGCTTGGGGCGCTGCAGAGGCTGTGCTTGGTGTCATCTTGAGCGCCCTTGAATCCTGTGAATAGATAGAATCGGAAGCATCACTGGGCATACGTGTTGTCAAATTTGAGGCTGAGAGGGGGGTTTGTTCAGTCTGAGTGGACAACGGGCTCAGGAACATGTCTTGAACGGGAAGAGGAGCGGACATGGGGACTGGCGAAGCGAGAGATGTTTGCGTAGTATCCCTGTTTGGGGTGTTCCTCTTTGGCCGTGGTGCACTGAAATCATGGACCCGAGTTCCCATGATGCGAGGATCATACACCGGATCCTCACGGCGCTTGGCCAAGGGTAATGGGCGCAAGTCAGGGGCATGCTGACTGTTTTTGCGCCTCATCAATAGTGTTGACATTGGTTTCTTAAGAAACGGCAGCCCTTTCTTGGGCTTGGGGGTTTCGGTGTTGCTTGTTGTCTGTGTAAGCGAGGGCAGTTCTGTAACCAGACGGGTACCTGCAGGACGGCGACCGGTAGGCTGCTGAAGATCTGTGGGTGTGCTGAAAGAAGATGTAGCTCTCGTATTCTTTATAACCTGCGGCGACGGCCGTAAGGGGGGATTATTTGAAGTCAATGATGGCTGAGAAGCTGAATGCTGACCAAGTAGACCAGTTCCTCTTTTGCTGTCGTTAGCTTCGGTAGCTTGTGCTTCCAGATCACGCTGGTATTTTCTAAGAGCGACACCACCAATGAAGGACGATGTTTTAGAGGTCGGTTGTGGTCGAGTATCTAACGGGTTTGTCGCTGCAGCATTTTGGCGGCCATCTCGTGGCTTCCCTATATCTTCTGTGGTAACGCGAGATATGGGCGGTAGAGTAGGAGGCAAGGTGGAGGGATTCGAAGATGTTGGTCGCAATTCTGGAGAGAGAGCATCGGGAGAGAAAGGCGCGGGGTGGCCAGCAGCAGGTGAAGTAGGAGTTTGATCAGGAGAGGGCGAGGTAGGATTTGATGACGGCCCTCGCCTGTGGAACCGCAGATGGGAGAGCATACTGAAGAACCAGGCTCTGCGTCGAGTCGAGGTGAATCAAAATGTCGACGGCGGCTGGGTGGGGGTAGCGCGGGAGCGCTCAAGCTTGCGTAAGGTGACCGATACAATACGTATTTAGTGAGAAAAGGGCAGCGCATCCGTGGGTCAGCATCCGATGGTGTACGGTAAGGAGGTCGAGGCAAGTAATCGAGACGCGCTCATGACATGACTCAAGGGGTCGTAGTCGCAAGAGGCAAGACAAACATGGTGGTAGACTTGCTTAGGCTGGGCGTGGAGGGGACGGAGCCGGGTATCGATAGTGGGCAGCAAGGGAGTGTTGGTAATCCTACACTACGCTGTAATGGTTGTCGCAAGACGGAGGCAGGGGTATAGTTGATAGATTGCCTTGGGGAAGAAAGGACGAGACGAGACGAGATGAGATGGATGCTGTTAGAAGGGAGGCTGAGGCAGTTCCGGTACCAAATGATAACCTAATCGATCCAAGACGTGGTTGGTGACGGATTTATGGTTTCAAAACACCCGATCCAAAAAGCCAGTCATGGATATTGCACGTGCATAAGCCACTTTAATTAATACAACTCTGACACGATTGCAAAGGTAGCAGAGTAAAACTGAGAGTCCCTCGATTCAATGGCAAGGCATAAAAGTACGAATATTATCAGACATGGTGTAAACATCCAAGGGAGCTATAAAGTTTGTTAGCTATCGGCTTGGACACGTCTATAGAATAAGATTTAGATTTCTTTGAGAGGACTTGTCGTTGGTATATAGTGGGGCTGTTGTGTCACAACAGGCTTTGCGCCGTCTCTATAAAAAGAAACCCTACCTTACCTGTCTACGGATACCTATCCCTTCCATTAACAAAACGTATCAACAATAATACAGAAAATTTTGCACCCAAGGCACGCTCCTACCCGTGATGGTCCTCTTTCTTTTAGCGGACAGTCTTCAACACGACAATAATATCCCTTGCTTTTGCATGCAAAGGGCAGCTTTAGTTGCCTCCACTTACACGATCGCCCTTCATAATGGGAACCTCTCAATAGCAGAACATTTACAGTACAATGGGGCATGGCTTGGCAAAGGGGTCAGCATCATGTTTCTTTTTATAAGGGAAAGGAGTTAGACATGTTTTTTTTTAACTGCAAAACATGACTTTGATTCGCTTAACTATCCTGGCTCTGCCGCTTTTGCAGTGACAATCTCCGTGCATGATTCACTTCAACTACTAACTATAATTTGTGTCAAAGGACCTTAGGCGTTGAATTATAGTCCAGCATAGTGACCAAAAGATACCATCTTCTAATTTCCCATCAGAGTTGTTGGTTGTTTAAAAATGATGCTGACAGTTCAATGAATCTGAGGGGCTTTGCTTGGAAGCAGTTATCATGTGAAAACGATTCATACCCAGCCATGTAAATTCCCGCCATACCACAACATGGCTGTCAACGTTTGATGGCGTCAACAAGTTAAAAGTCAATTGATAAAATTGGAAAGGTCCTGTACATGTGCATTGCTGAACGTCATTATTCGGTTTGATCTGAGCGAATAATCATTTTGTATATATATAAAAAACAGTTGTTTGACTGTTCCGAGTCCCTAACAAACGCCATCATGACGGATGGTCAGATCAAACACAGTTGCCGCGTCAAGGTATTGATGTTGGTGATTAACTCCTAAAGCACAAATTGTAACAGTCAACGTATGAAGCAATTGGGAATACTTATACAAATGGTTTCCTATTCAGAGTTATCAGTTGAGAAATTTGGAGATATATTGCTACTATTTCACTTTATACTCTAGATTAGTATCACACTGGTGATAACACACCATACCATACCATATGGACTGTCTGAATAGATGTTACCCTATACCACTTGGAAATAACGCTGAAAACCTAGTACTTGCATGACAGATTGGTCCGGAAGATTTTCGTACCAAACTTCAATATCACAAGTCAGGTACGATAGACAGTCTGCGCAACCTTGAAAGTCTAGGCTATTCCTTTGCAGGATAACGACATAATGGTAGACTTCACTAGACAGTCCAGGATGTTGAGGCTCGGCGCAGGTTAGAGATGGAGAGTGATAGGTAACTTAGCCGAGACCTAAACGTGGGGAAGCGGCAAATGACGTACGCATTGTCTGCATCGTAAACATGATAAACAAGCATTATTATCAGTAGTACATCTGCTTTGGTGCAACGAAACATGTACAGTTAATTGCCTATCAATCGGGTACGTTGTTACCTTTTGAGGTATCATGTTTGGCCCGTCTCGTGGTTTATTACCGTTTATGGCGGACGACAAACAACAAACATTCGCATCCATTTAACAGCCTGTTGCACTTTTCCCCACACAAAGGAACACCAAGATCGCAAAACTGTATCCGTATCAATCTCACTGTGACGGTTGACGAATCGATTGCAGTAGAGATTACCCCCCATAATGGATGACTCCTTGGCATGTGCTTCCTCTCGCTCTCCTGAGGCTGTGATCTCTCCAAGTTAACAAGGTTAGGCGGCGCCAACCACCACAGTGACCGACCAGACCGACTCCACTGCTGACGACGCATTTCTTAGGTGCAATTTACAGTCTACTCAGCCCGCTGAAGCCAAGCAAAGATAAAGTACAACGAATGGCATTCCAGATATCCATAAATGTGAGGATGAAGGAAAGTGGTCTGCCACAACGGATGACGAGGCCGGAAGACGGCATCGGGATGTGGGTACAACCGCTCACTACATTACGGCTTGCGACGTGACGTGATGCGACACAACTCCAAACAAAGCCTTTGATATCGCTTGAAACAGAATAACTTGTAGCTTAGCTTCAGCTCACGGGCTGAGTAGAGACTTGGCTACATTAAATTCCATAATTATTCAAGGGCCTTCTCATCCTCTGCCTTGCATTTTTGCAGTGAATTCAACGTTCCTTGATACCAAGTCTCCCAAAAGGTCTTGGCCGCGCAACTGGTGACTCTTGGCGACTACTGTTAGATTTGCTCCAAGGTTTATTACCAGGGGAATCATTAGACTGAAAATATCCATGATAAGTCGCTTATCCCCCGCTGAATGGTGAGCGCTGAACTTATTTCTTACCCCAGGCACAGGCACGTCGACTCGGCTGCACGCGATAACATCCACCTCGTGGGCGCCTGTCAAACATTATTCTCTCATCATCTACAAATTGCATCGCAAAATCCGCCTTGTTTCTATTTTCATCATTTCTCGGCTGCTTATATCCGCTATTCGCTGTCAAATTCCTGGTCTAGTCGGTTCTCGATCCGCCTCGCTCAAACTTAATCACCGGCTCTTACTGTCAACGCCTCCCTAAACGACAACGCTTAATCACAAGGGGAATTTAGTATTCACTATCAACGAACTGTTGCCTGCCTCACAGCCGGATCATCGGCAACATAGTCATATTCCAGTTCTCGACACCCTTTCCTATTTCTTGTTTCTGTTGCTGAGCCACAAATCAACAACACGAAATAAACTTGTATGTCCCGCCCAAGGCCCCAATCCGAGTCTTGATTTCGCCTCGGCCTTTCTTAATCCGACCTTATCACTTTAATACATCATGATAAACACACTATGGAAGTCGCCTGCCGAGCTCGATCATCAAATCCCCGGTCGTCGTGATAGTCAGGACTCCATCATGAGCCGACTCGGTGGAAAGAACGTCTTTATCTTCTGCTCTTCTCGCATGTGGCGCGGCGTACCCAAACTCTTACTTCAAATCTCTGCCATATTTTTCACCAGTTTCCTTGTTTTTGGCATTTTACCAGATCGGTTATCTGGCGGACAACTTGGTTATGGATATCGGGGAATATTCCCTTGGGGGAGCTATGAGCCAGAACCTGATCGAAATATGAGGATCGTGGTGTTCGGCTCGCCCGATGTTGTAGGCAACGTACAAGATCCTTCCTCAGAGCGCAAAACATGGACAGAGGAGCTATGCGATGAGGTAAAACAAAAAATCCGATTCATCATTCTTGGCTAACCCCTGAATAGCTCGAATGCACTTCTTATCTATCGTTTGTACCAAAGGCTCAGCCGAATAAGGGTCTCATCAGCAACGACATGTACGAGGAGGCAGTCCAGGATCTTCTCAACACTACCAAGTTCACCAATGTGAAGGAAAAGCCAGCCTTGAATTACAAGTATATCGCTAAACAGTATCCCACCCCCTCCAAGGTCCCTGACCTGGCGAGCCAAGTTCAGAGCTTTCTTGCGATGCCACCACCTGAAAAGACCCCACGCGAGACGGTCTGGATATTCAGCTTTGGAACGTGGGAGATCTGGAATATGGCAGCAATGCCAAGACAAGAATCGGAAGATGCCATCACCTACATGGTCAGACAAATCCTCGATCAGGCCGAGATACTCTACGAACGATCGCTTGACCCCAATTCTATCGCCTACTCTGATTTCTGGACAAACGCGACCGAGTCACAGATTAGTGAACTGACGGCACCCGGCGCTTTGGACAAAGTCGACAGACGCAAATTTGAAAGCTTCCGTATTGTCGTGCCCACAATATTTGACATTTCCCTCACACCTGGCTGGCAGGGTCGGAAGACGCCACCTGCGCCTAACAATGTTGTCGAGCAGACCCGAAACGCCGCAGAATTGACTAAATACTGGAACCAAGAGGTGGACTTTGCAGTTGCCGAATGGAAAGACAGGACAACGAAGAAGCCAAAGAGGCCGACATCAAGCACTGAGAAAGGAAGGAACACCAAGAGGGCTGAGAGCGTCGGGCCTGTTGAGCATAGCGAAGACACCAAAGAATCGGCGAAAACCACGTACGAAAGCCATCAAGTTATTCAGGCCCCATATCCCATGCGTAATGGGCTGCTGGTAAACATCGACCAAGGAGTCCTCGATGCTATGACTGAAGGTGACATGGAACGTGCGGCAGTCGTGGATTTGAGAGGACGCGGAACATTGTCCGCCAACGATTCGATGCGGTTTACCGATGTCTGGACACCGTGTGTCAGAGGGGATTTGGCGGATCTCAAGATTAACGAGAAAGAAATCAAGACAGGATGTGAGATCGAACACGACCATCTCTTCTACGACTCTTTTACCATTAGTGAGAGAGCTATGAAGGGTGTGGTAAAGTCGATTATGGGAGATGTTAGGGAGGAGCTCTTCAACGCGGAAGAAAAGCGAGGCTGGTTATATGGCGGCTGGTAGTTTGGGGGAAGGACGTGTATTTTCATTTTCCTCAACCATTTTGCGTTCGTTAGTGATATGGGCTGGTAGATACCCGAGGGACAGGAAGCACGCCAGGGAGATATATGTATGAATAAGGATGGCATGAGCGGTTGGCGTTTTGGGGAATTGTTATCAGTTCAGCCTACGAGTTTGTATTTACGAACAATACTTTGTACATGAGAGAGCCAAGCTATCTGTATACGAATTGAGCCCTGTATCAAGTAGCGCATATGTCTTTACTAACTTTATTAAATATTGACACATGGCCCGAGATTGAAACGGGCCTCCCGAGACCGAGATTGCTGGTTTCAATTTGATGATCTACCGGGAAGCGGGGCGCTAGCAAACGGGAATATTGAGCCTAGGGTGATGGGGTATAATCGAGATACAGCTGCCTCAAATGTTAAAGTAAGTGTCATCTAGTAGGGTCCATTTTCATTCCTACGGACCCCCCTTCGGAGTATTAGAAAATTCGGTCCCTGGAAGTATAAGAGAGGAAACTAGGTCTATAGTGTAAGATTTATAAAGGTCTGACGTAATACGTTAGTTTGTGCTGGCCATGCCCCTTGTTTGCCTGTACAGTCAAAGAGCCGCTGGCAATGGAGTTAGTATGAGAACATGGTTCTAAATCAACACAATATTCCAAGTCTTGTTTCAATAGCTTAAAGCACCTGCTGCACAGCCTACTGCAAGCCACCCACTAACTGTCCAATCTTAGGTCATTCTTCTGGGCATAGCGTCCTCTAGCGCCCACGCGGATCGATATCCACCCCCACAAGCCTAAAGCCGAAAGAGATCTGCATCTCTAGCATCACGCAGCGACGTCACAAGGGGAATCGCTCAAGTTAAAATGGAACAAACAACGTCGCAGCCATTAACATATTCCCTGTTAGTGACATTGATAGCGTACTAATATACCAAACCCATGAGGTCACGGATACTAGGGAGGTAAGCACATTTAGGTCAGCACTTAAAATGCTGCCCAGCAGCCTGGTGGGAGACGCACCTTCCACTTGCAATATATATGACTGGGACCTTGACTCTTCATCCTAGGTACTCTAGTATCTATTACCTAGACTCTGTCTTAAGAATAAACACAAGACACTGTCTCACTGCCTATTTAACGCCTCTACTATAAAACATACCCTCCCCCGAAAACCTGACCTGACACCCACGCGACCTTGCGGCTCCTGATACAGCCTCACTCACTGTTCCTAGGACTCATTCTTAGCACGGGACCTATTCGCCGCCTCGAGGCAGATTTCGCACCATATTCCTGTGTAATATATAATTCAGACTGCACCACTGTGACTCAAGATGGACGACAAACTAGATTTTGATCCTCGCGCATTTGCAGCCGACATGCAACTACGTACTCGAAAAGCCCGAAACTTTGACAAGGTCGAGCACGACTTGCCTGACCCCAAATCCGCTGCCTTTCAGAAAGCCCAAACCGCCGCTCTTGCAGGACCCGTCAATGTCTCGGGATGGCTTTCGCGCGTCGCGGGATGGAACCCTTTCGGTAAAGCTGTCGACGCCGGTGATATCCTGTGGCTGATGGACAACACGGCCTATCGCAACCCCGAGACCGATCAGTGGGAGGCCGAATTTGTCGCTGCTGTGTTTGAGAATGAACCCAAGTGTCGCGTAGCGGATATAGTGTCTGGTATCGCTTCGACGCTTGGTTTGGCGGAGGATGCGGCTGAGCGTGACGTTATTGAAGAGAGGATCATTCCATTCCTTTGGGATATCCAGGCGGCAAGAGTCTTTTGGATCGAACACAAGAAGAAGGAGATCAAGTTGGGACCTACCAGCATCAATGGCATCACAACGAGCGTTCAGCCTGTTGACCGGTACCATAAGGGGTCAATTGTTGATGCGACAGCGCTGGTGCCCCATGGAACGAAGGGCATTCACGACATGCAGACATACTATGCCGGACCTGAGGGTTGGGCTGTCATATCAGGTTTGTTCCCGTACCACATCCCTACCAGAGCTTTGCAGCTAACAGAGCCTAGATGTTGATGATACTATCAAGGTCACCTTGACCAGTGATCCTCTTGGCATTCTCAAGTCTACTTTTATCGACGAGCCGACACCGGTTCCTGGAATGCCTGAACTTCTCTCAGATCTGCAAACTTTACTCCCTCGCGATACTCCCTGGTTTTATCTGTCAGCATCGCCATACAACCTGTACCCCCTGTTGCGCGATTTCCGTGAACGATACTATCCACAAGGCCAGCTCATCCTTCGCGACTCGAGCTGGCGCACAGTAGCAGGCTTGTTGTCAGCGCTCACTATGGGAACCGAGGAGTACAAGACGGACCGTATGAAGAAGATCCAGTCCTGGCTGCCAAAGAAGAAACTGATTCTCATCGGCGACTCGACACAATCTGATCCTGAGGCCTATGGTGAGATGTAAGTTGTTACTTGACTCGAGATCTTTCCATGTGGTTGACTGACTCTTTATAGTTACCGCACGTTTCCAGGCTGGGTTAAGATGATCCTTATCCGCAAGGCTACTGATGTGGCTGCTTTTGGCATCGACGAGAAGAACCAGCTTGAGCGTTTCGAAAAAGCTTTCAAACACGTACCAGTCGAGGCCTGGCATGTTTTCGAAGATCCGAGCGAGTGTCGAAATATTGTGCGGGATGTCATTCGAAAGAGGAGTTGAGCGACTTGTTTCTGTTTGTTCGTTGTTGGGTTACAATAGACGGCGCAAGTTGGTTTACTGTATACGCATTGCTATGGTTATGGTTGATGATACGATTACAAGTTGAATAATGTATTATACCTCGTTCTTGGAAATGTTCTTTATTCCCACCTGTAATCCTCTTCTTACATCTTACACACCGACCTCTATTGTTGATTTCTCCATAGCATATCGTTTCGTCTTGTTCGACTCGGAGCTTGGTATCTGAAACCCGCTCGTCATCGCGCCCAGAGGATCAAGTAATAGTAGTAAAGCCATGACCCAACGCCCCTCACTGTGACATTGCCAAAATTAGTCACTCAACCTTTTCCACTACCAAACCGACATCCTCAATTAGAAACCACGACACGGCCAACATCGCCATTGATGTATTGCTCAACCTCTTCGCCCGGCATTTATACAGAACAGTCGTTGAGATCCTTTGTATGTCTGATGACACTGATACGATTACGCTGGTCACGAGTTGCTTCAACCCTGATCGCACTATCTGTCCTTTCGTCCAATTCGCCTGGCACGAATATCTGAATCTGAGCGACAGGCAAAATGTATGATAGTAGCAGGGACTTTGTTCGATGGTAGACGGAAGCGCTATCACTGTTTTCGAAATATAGCCTCAAAGTTCTGATGTTGCCACTGCTACTTGATGTTGTCAAAAACAAACGGTAGTAGTGGTCGAAATAGGACGAACGAATTCTCCAGCCCGAACCGCTGTGCTCATGATGGCGGCATATAGGTTCCGTGTGGCAGCCGCATTGGGTACAATAAAGATCGATGGACTGAGCAAGTGATGAGAAATACACAAAAAGGCCTTCAAATACTATCACATCTTTGACGCAGCGGAAGGAAAAGGTGTTGGTCTGATATAGGACTGGGAGACCCTGTAGGTAGCTGTGGCGTCGTTAGACAACACATGCAAACATATGAGGGAAATCATAATGACTTACGCGGACTGGCAAGTCCTGAGGATGTCTGTGGACAGAAAACACCACTGGTGGTTCTTTTCTTCGTGGTAGTGAGGAATTGTTTTGTGTCCACGATGACAGACGCAATGAACCCATCTCGAAACCTTGCTAGGAGCTCCTTCTCGTTCGTATTTGTCGTCCTTATGACGAAGATGAACGTGAACAAGTTTATCCCCAAGTAGTTCGGTAAAGATCATTCGTTGAATCTCAGCAGGCAACGTAAGAAGAGGAGATAGGCCTTGGGTTGCGGTTGGAAGTGTGAATTTGACATCTCTTCTGAACTGCTCTGCAGGTGTTGGGGGAGGAGTGTCACTCCTTCTTTCGCGGCGAAACATGATGAGCAAAGGGAAACCCAACCAAGGCTGGATCAAAGCCGAGATTGAGGTGAATTTGAGGGAGAAAATGGAAAACACTTAGGATGAGGGTGAGGAGATGTTGAGAACGAGGAACGTGTAAATGGTAGTGGAGAAGGAGCTGTGATGCCAGGGTAGTACTAAGGTAGGCAGGTAACACAAACCAACAAAAGCAACAAAAGGAAGCCAGCACTCACTAGTCCTAACCCAAAGCTGACCAAAAAAGCAATATCAAGTCAATAATAGTAAGGCTTGTCTTATTTTGGAAATAAAAAATAAAAAATTAGACTACTAACCTACCTATCTATTAAACAAAACGAGGCGAACACAATTGACGGTGAGGTAAATCAATGTTTCTTATGCACTTTGGTGGCTCTCATATTCTTGAATAAACATTGTTGTGACTCTTTCGACTTCCAAAGAAAGTTGGTGCATGTGATATATGCAAGACATGTATTTGTGGGCATGGATTCGTGCAGCTGTACGCGCTGTTTGAGGCCGGCTGCATAGACCCGCCTTACAGCCTCGTTTCTGGCCCTTGTGAGCAGGTTACCGTATAACAAAAGCAACCAACATTGAACAATGTGGTCTGATTTGCTACTACTACATAATAGACCTTTTCCGAGACGCGGGAATGCGGATGATCTCGCCGATAAGTTATTCTCTACCGTTCCAGTTGCCGTTATTATTGTTCGTATCAGTCGTCTTCCTCTTCCGATTCATCCACGTATTGTACAGGAGTGACCTCGATTTCCTCGTTCTGACATCCGAATATTTCTAGCTGTCTTTTCGCGGTGTTCAGCATCGTAGGCATCAGCTCCAAATGTACGTTGTCCTTATTCGCCCCCCGTAGCCCTCCGGCCAGGCACACAATCAGTAAGAAGTCCCTGTATTTGTGTTGAGCTGTCGACTTGATACTCAAACGCATTCGCTTAAAGTCGACAGCACGAAGCTCTTTGAATGCACTGGAGAGTGAAAACGGGCAAAAAATGCTTAAATCAATGTCCAGATGCAAATTTATCCTCGAAATGTTGCCTCTCGAGCTCAAAAACCGCCCAGGGAACCTCTTGAAGTCGTTTATTCCTCTACACACAAAGTCGTTCGAGAAATACAACTCATCAATACCGGTGATATATCTTTTTGAATCATCAGCGTTTGAACGCAAGCGTTAAGAAAGTAGAGAATCGCACTCACGCTAAAGTACAATTCTGAAGAATGTTAAAAGATAGACGCTCCTCCGTGTCATGGTATGTTTTGTCCGGGCCTTTAATGATCAAACCATGTGTTCAACACTCGGGTTCAGAATGCCATCTGGTATGTACAAAAATGGTTCGGCCTCCAAAAAGAGATGTGTATATGTTTCGCAAAATCTCAAGTGGCAACTTGAAGAGCCCGGTACCTTGCTGGTCATTCCGGACCCCTAAGGACAATCGGTCATGACACTGGGAAGTCATTATGTAAAGATTGGGGATTTAGAATCAATGCAAGCATAGGGTAAAGAGGTGTCGTCGTTCTTTGAAAGATTTGGGCGACAAGTCAAGAATTCGCAATTAGCGCGGAGGGATGCTGAAGAGCAAGTTGGAGGAAAGGAGCAAGTGTTCATTTAAACAGCAGGCTTTAAGAGGGTCTGATCCAGGATTTTTATCTCAAAGTCTATGGTTTCTCCTCTCCAAGCTACAAAGAACATGATGTTTTCACTTTCGACGCCAGAGCTTCGTCGCTCATGATCTTGGTGTCTTAGATATCTCCCACCGTGAGCCAATCCATGTGAGGGCTGCTATAGTATACATGTCCTGATCTACGAAGTTGATTGGTAGGAAGAGCAAGGTTTAAGAGGGAAAGGCTGGCGAAAGAGATTGCTTTGTTGACGCCCCAACGTGTGAAGTTTATCGTTCGCCATGCGTATTAAGTCCTGACGTGGAAAACACGAGACCTTGAGGAGAGTTTCTGGGCCTCTAATAACCATCGACAGGAGATTCAACAAGAAGGGAGGATGCACTGAGTCTGGGTGTCAAGGAAACGCGCACAGCATGACACAGAGACTGCATGGGCAGTCTTCTCTGTAGAAGCTAACTGCAGAACATAAGACCCTGGAGTCTCTTTGTCAAACAGTGTTGACTTTCGCCCTTATCAAACATTACTAAAGCTTCCAGATCTACTCCCATGACCAGCTACCAACTAGTGTGTTAAGCTGGGAAGTATTCCTTTCTTTCCTTTGAACCGAGAGCCTAAAGATTAGCAACAGAATGTTAAAAGAAAAAGGTCTCATCTAACACCCGCCTGCTTAAAAGAGATCATTTGTCAAGGTGTAGTTCATTTAAGCTCATGCTATTACGGTAACAAGCCCAATCCGTCTCCAGATGAAGCATGTATTGTATGTGATTGGCCCGTCGGGATATCAAGGCGACAATGTCATCCAATAAGTTCCAACCCTGTATAACCAACAGTGGTCAATCAAACTTGAGCATTCAACTATCACTCTATCAGCCCACTTGACATCAATTTCCACTATGCCTGTGTGTGCACTTTGTAGATGATCTTCAAAATAGTAATAAAAAGGGGGTTAAGCTACTATCGCTATAAGTGGACCCCTTTCCTCATCAGGCATGTTCTTGTAACCTCTGCAAGCATTGTATACCATTCCTGCCCACATCTCAACTTCAAAATAGCGCGCTGAGCCCTCCCGTCGATCTTGCGGCTAAAATACGTCGATTTCATAGTTTTATGTTGATCTAATGTTGATGCTTGCTCTGTTCCTTTATTAACCGAATAAGTGCTAATTTGTTAAGGTGTAGTAGCTCTTTACCATAACACGATGGATGGTGTTCAGTGAACACTACATTCCATTTGGAATTGCATGTGCCTCAGTAAAAACGGGCGGAGATGAAAGTGTTGATAGGAAGAACCTTTTGAATATTGTCTTGACAGGTCAATTGCCTTTACTATCACCTCGATGGGCACTCCAATCGCTGATTTCATCGTCGCGGTCGCCTGGGTAGCCGTACTCATAGCTTCTACCGAGGTATGCCAGTCCAGCAAGCTCAAGTTCCTCGTCGCTAGTATGGTGTTCCAGAAACTTGAAAGTGATTTTGCCGGGGCTTCGAAATGTCAAGTTCTTAACTGATGGCTTGAAGGATGATGGCAATATGAAAGTTGTATCGCTTTTCGAGTAGGACAGGAAATGTTTTAACGCCTCAATAGTATTCTGCTGGGCTTGAACGCTCACTTTGTCAGTTTGGTAGTAGGAATTTGCCAACCAGATCTTTACTTTGAATGCGCGGAAATCATCCACAACCCAGTAAAGAAGATCAAGAAGGGGAACGGAATACTCCAGTTCAGGCCTAAAATTACAGTTGAATTCAAGATTTTGAGGCCATGAACGGCGCGGAATATCTTTTGTGAAATGAATGCAGTCAATTGGTGAGCGAGAAACGAATGTGGCCGAACCATAGAGAGCAACACGCCCTTCAGAGTACCTAATTATTGTCACCAGCATGTTCACGATTCGGCACAAAGTTTGATAGCCAAACTTACGCCTGTTGGCAGGTATACAGCAAATTAGACTCCAATGGTTCTGACGTGTGAGAGCAGCTGTTGTAGTTGCGGACAAAGCTGTCCGGGTGAAGTGCGCATCCTTTAGGGCTGTGTTCTTCTTGACAGAGTACGTAGGACCAGCCATGCTTGTGTTTGCCCTGGTCGCTCCGCTCATGGTAGCGGACATGTACTCTGAGGAAACCGAACAGCTCATGGTATATTTTCTGCCGGATGTTGTGGTTGAGTTTAGTGAAAAAGGATGAAGCTGACTGAGGCGACTGTTGTCGCACATAGTCTGATGGCGACGGCGTCGGTGTCGGCGTTGGCGTCAGTGAAAATGACGAACCTCTTTCAGCACATTCCCAACACATGGTATCGCAATCTATGGACGGTTAGAACTCGACTCAAATAGGAGCATTCAATAGCTAGCAAGGTAGGTAGCCTCCAGGGGTGGAGGTGATACTGAATACTGACCGTTGATTTGTGCGATCTGCTGCTGAAAAAGGCCGATTGTCGGCTCTGAAGAGTTCTGAGAAGGGGATAATATTGATCTTATGGTCAGTCAGAGGTGGATTTTATCCATGAAGGAAGAAAAATGTAGTAGTTGCCTAGTACCTAAGATGGGAAGGCTACCTAGTAGGGAAGCTACGGCATGCAAAACGATTATTCGCACGGCAGGAGGGAAAGAAGCCCAGCAGCAGTTGCCGGGTATTTGCCAAACGCAAGGCAACAAATACTCTTCGTCATTCTGCCTCAGGAGTGAATACCTCCCTGATTTAAATATGATTCACAGTTCGAACTCAATCCACGTACATCTTGAGAAGGCGAATGGCTTGTATTGCCCAGATAAGAAGGGCATAAAATATTGTGCTGTCACTCCTAATACAGATTAAAGAATAATGGCCCTCTTTATTCGCTGAGATCTCTGGACCTCATCTAGCTGAGACCGAGTTCGCTCTAGATTCCGTCAAGTCGGTATGAGAATGCAGTTGGGATGGCTAGGTAAGTACCAAAGGCTGAATGTGAATCCTTCCTTGATGTTAGGCGTTTCCTCCCCGATGCCACTGTTCGCCACCTATGGTCTGGTATTAGAAACGTTGAGCGTCTGAGGTATAAGAGCCAAATTTCTGCTACCTACTAGAACGGCAACCATGAGAAGACTGTTTCAATTCATATATAGAAACAATCAGCCTGAAGTACTGTGGTTCGTCCCCTTATACGTGTTGTAGCTCTACACGTTACAGTCTTGATAAGCACAAAGCTATATATCATAGCTATTATTACTAGGAGCTCCTAAGGAAGACCGAGCTTTAAGTGAGATACTCTTGGCCTTTAGGGAAGGGGAGACTTTCGTCTGGAAACAGCAATTAATCCTGATAGCGGTTACGCAAGGTAAACATCAGTTATTCTCACAGTGTACTCACATGTGATGTTAATGCCTCTTCTTTTCACGGCCCAGGTTCCCTTGGCCGATATGTGTTACGAAAACTCGATAGAAGCCAAACAGCTTGCTGTATATAAATTATCATTATCAGGATTGAGTTTTGCGGGGGGATATCAAGTTTGTAGACATCAGCCCCATGTACCACCGCACGAACTGCGAGAGGGAGCCGTAAGTATTGTTGTCTTCTAATAGACCATCCTATTCATCTAGAAATGTTCGAGTACAGCAAAGGCACAAGCAAATATTGCGACTGGCCTTGAGGTCGTTTCACCTTGCACTCCTCCAGACCAAGCCATGCTTGAGATCGAGTGTCGGCCAACTTCCGACCATTTCACATGTCACAAGCATCAATGTCCTACCTCCAGTCTACATCGAACAGATGTAGCAGCGTGACCAAGGGTGTGACATAGTCGAGGGGGTTATGAGGCACACATGGTAAGTTTAGGGATGGGCTACCTATTTATCATCTGCCATTCATGCATGAAATTTCACAAGCCATAATGCAAGCATGAGCCGTTCATACTCCTGTTGTCCGACGGCACTCGAATCATCAGGACAAGCCTTCCATGTCTCCATTCAACAATACGTCCATTGTATTATATAGCCTTTGAACCAGTAATAGTGTTAGAAGGCACCAATCTGCCCTGGTGAATCGTACCTACGTCATCTCTAATGGAACTGACCCTTACATATGGACTTTCGTCCAGTCAGACAGGTAAGAATCGGTATTTAAACAAAATCATTGGGAAATAGACTTTGTTCACCCTAGCCATTGAGTTGAGGCCAATCATGTCGGCCAAATACATGTCAATACTCTCAATCCACCCTCGGAAAAGCCCGGCCGGCTCTTCGACAATCCCCATCGGTAAGACTCGGCCAGGCCTTACAAGACAAGACAAAGAGAGGGAAATCAATGGGTACTAGATCGTCATTCATCAATTGAATACGGAATGACATATGGAAATAATTATGTAACCTTTCTTCCGAGCTTCACTGTGGAGTCTGTCCGTTGTCTTCCGGTGACCGGAGCCGGAACCGGGAACTTGAATTTCTATGTGAAGTTGAATAGGTTGGACTAGTTAAAACGTGCATGTATTTCCCCAGAAAGAGAAGAAGAAAAAAGCTCCCTGGATATTGGTAACTGTTCTAGCTAAACCTAATCTTGGGATGGTGGAAAATCAGTGGGTGCCAGTGATTTCGAAATGTCAATGCCGGTAGGGATGGCAGAGCAGAACTGGGGCCGGCCACGAGCCGAAATAGTAATAGAATGTCCCTGATGGCCCGGTTCATAAAAATACGTGTTCATTATAGATGCCAAGTCTCTAGTCGTGCCAAGCTGGCTGCTTGTCACGATACTTTCCGTTGGCGCATGGACTATCACAGCAAGTCACGTCACAGTTCGAGCAAGTCTTGCAATGTAAGAGTATAAACTTTTTTTTCTGGTATCAATATTTCCACCAAAAGCAACTCCTCTGTTCAACGCCGCGGTGCTCCTTGCTCGCTGTTAAAGCTTTGCAGGTAGTATCCAACTACTCAGGAAGAAATGGCGTTGACGCCAGCAGATGGGCAAAGCACGGAGGTTTCAATGTTCTCCGCAGTCGGGGGGTATTTTCTGGAAACCCGACTTATTTGCTTTTTCCCCAATTCTCCTCCTCTTTTTGGTGCTTAGACCAACCTCTCGTTTCATATGACGCTCTTGACAACATAGTATCGTAGTGCCCTAAGTGGTATCCTGACGAGATGCGTTGCAGTCGGAAACTCTGTCCTTATCTGCATTGTATGTCGATGAGACAGGTTTACCTGCCCATCCCGAAATGCACCGTGAATAGGCTGTCACTGTGCATGACCACTCGGCGTCCTCGTATACTATGCCGCGTAGTATGCATGCTCCAGGTGGCGTCTTCCTGGTTCTCGTCATAGCCCGCATCGTTGTAGGTATTCGTTCATCCCTCCGCTCCACCTATGACTCCTCGCCTATGGCGGGAGACATATTTAACCGAAGAGAGCAGCGCCGCCAGACTCGACAGCCTCGATCTCGGCAGCGTTGAGGGGAGCGCGGTGGAAGCGGGCAGGAAGCTCAGAGAGGTCAAAGGCAACACCCTTGGGAGGGTTGACAGAACCCAGGGAGGCAGCGCTGGTACCGCCGAAGCCAGACTTCTGAAGAGGACCGTGTTGCTGGACGTGGTCGCGGTAGGAGCTAAAGTTCTTGTGGGAAGCGGCGGCGTCGCCGTTTCCGTAGCCGGACCAGGACTCGGGGAGCTTTTCAACACCAGAGGCGGGGTGAGGCTTGGGGGTGTGGTCGAGGTTGGCTAGAGAATACACTGTTAGCTGGAGCAGGCAACGAGGGGGAAAGGTTTCGTTTCTGGGTAGGACATACAAGGAATGGTTCGGGGGCCGAGGAACTTGATGAGAGGGGTTCGCTCAGCGTGGACAGCAGCCTGTCGGAGGGCACGAGTAACAGAGAACATGGTGGTGGTTGTGTGTGCGTTGAGGTACTTGGTAGTTAGTCGGGTTGCTTGTGGGTGAATCGAGTGTGCTTGCTAAGACGCCTATGGATATAAGCAAAGAGTTGAAAATCGAGAAAGGCAATTGAGTTTGTTGAGAAGAAGGAAGTGTAAGAGTAGAAGATCAAGGTGGGAGAAGACGAGGTTATGTATCTGTGGAATTTTTGTAGTGGTAGCCCAGTTCAGGTCAAGGTTAGGTCCATTTGTACCGTGCCGAAGCGCAAGCGCAACCCAGCACAACCTCAGCGCACTTACAGGGAAGGTCCCTAGCTCCGTCCCGTTCGGATGGCGCGAACTGGCCTGGGCACGAGCTAAAAAAAGTTGGAATCCACCGACAAAAAAAACCTCGACTCGTCAAAACAGGCCACAATTGACAATGCATGCCCACTGGACAGGCGCTACAACACGTTACCCACCCTTGCCATGGCTACTGCAGCCTTGATGTGTGAAAAGTCAGTGCCCAAAAGCAAAAAGCAAAGTTATGAGTGTGGGATGAGTCTCAGTGGCACAGCATACCTACGCGAATCCCGTTAACGTGGGATGTATCTACACTCTGCATTACATGGGTTGTGCCAACGTCTGGTCTGAACACTATACCCATAACAATGCTGCAACCTCCAGGTCCAGGCAGGTTAGGGCCAAAATCTCCGCTCTCTCGCATTCGAGATGAGATTTACTTGTGACAGACAACCAGGACAGGAAGGGCAAGGTTACACTCTGCAACGCTCAAACAACGAACGCTGTAAGAGACTTTCGGCCTTCCACGTCTGTGGACTAAGGTTGCTTGGGGATCATCCACCCTCCTTCATTACAAACAATTCTGCATGAGTCGAGTCGGACTTTGGCACCGTCGGTGGAAATACCGTTCTTAACTGCACGGCACTTCAGTATGGGGTTTACGACCGGAGTTGAGCGAAATGGCGTGGTTCCTGGCCTTGAATAACGGATTTAAGCAACCGTCGTTCACGACTGCAGCTTATTCATCTTTGGAACGAAGAAATGCGCCAGATTTCCCGAACCGATTTAAATACTCCAGGAATACACAGCATTCGCCGGCACCTTATACCGAACCGAGAGTTGGGGTAGCTATGTAACTGTCTACAAACTTGATATTCACTGCCACTGCTACCCCAAAAAGTTTCTTGGATGGCCACCCTCCTGAAATCAGCTTGCGTTCGATGCACACGTATTGCGATCGTCAAACATTTGCCGGCTCGAAGCTTATGGCGTTTGGTCGGAGAAGTTTTCCTCCTCCAGACCTACCCTCACCACCATCAAGCCACCCCTCCTCGCCGTTCCTCCGGGATTGACATCGAGGGAGACAACAGAACAGAGGCTCGGCTCGTTTAACGCGCGGGGGGCTCGATATTTCCCTTTTGGGCGAACACATTTGTCCGGGGGGCCGATGTCTGGGGGGAACTAAAGATTGTCTGGTTGGTGGAGGAGGTGGGTAGACTAATAAAGTGATGCTTCAATCAACGGACAGATGGGCGTGTCTGCTAGGGATGATTTCTAACCAAAGACGAGGCAAGAAGGCGCAATCCTACACTGCATCCATCAGCTTTGCCATATGCGATGCATGGGTTGCTGGTATTAACAATCTGCACAGCGGTGCTCCGTGCCGTGCCCGTGCCATCCGAGCCTGGTCGTTGACGCGATCTCTTAGGAAAACAAAGGCCTCAGAAGTGCCAAAGCAATGACCATGTCAATGTCATTACTGGACCCTACCTACGTAATTGAAGCGAGGCCCCTGTCCGAAACCAACGTTGTGCGTCTGGTTTGCTTTAGCTGCCGCTGTATGCGGAGCGGAGAGGAGAGGAGCGGATCTAGGCAGATGGGCAAGCACATGGTCGAGAAAGGCTAATGTCTAGCCTAAAGACGCCGACATAGCGCGAAAAGACCAGCGTTGCAGTTGAAGATCCAGCTGGGCAACCCGAGAAGGGCCCTGGGGAAACGCCGAACAGCGAAGGTCAGAGTGAATTACATTTGGTCGATTGATGGATGATGCTCCTGAGGGTGTTAGATTATCTAGACTACAATGTTACAACGACGGCAATGACTTTTCAAAGAATAGCATCCGGTTGATCATGGCAATAGGCAGGCAAATCACGGATTCATTGGTTTATTAAATCGATACACAAATCGTAAGATGTGGTATTAGTTTCCTCAATCCCTTACGAAACGGAAATGCTCGTCTTGGTGTTTTTGTTGCAAAGCTGATATCTCGGAATCAAGACGATATTCTGACCAATCCTGTTTCGAGAACTGGCTATGACAGATTGTGATTACACCTGGTTTATGGATAGGAGATACGTACCGATTCCACCCCTGCATCTGAATCTCGTCACTTCTTGTTAATTTACCTACCTTTCTAGGTAGAGAGAGGCTGACAAAATTATAGTGAAACTGGCAAGAGAGTCCGAGTTCTTAGGCATATGTTCCCTTTTCAGTTTTATGTCTATGTTATGGATCTGTCTTGATCTGCATAGAGCGATAGATTGAGTGAGATGGTATGTCGCTCCGATACTTACCCAATGTCTTCCAACGTTATCATACCTACTGCATGAATAAGAAACCTCGCGTAACATTTCCAAAAGGCCCGACCTCCACGTTAATCCAATTTTTCCCACTTTGTTTCGTGTTCCAGATCAACCTTCTTTTCCTCAAGTCGAGTGTCCGTAAAAGCGTGGCTTACACCGGGAGCCGGCATCGGTGGAAATCCTTGAAGTCTGTGCTGTGCCATGGTGCCGCTCCCCGAGCTGCGATTGGCCTTGATAAATTAGCTTATTTTGCACCTCAACATCACTCCCGCTCCGTGGACTTTCTTATCCTCTTGGGGTAATCCCGCTTGCACGTGAAACCCGAGGGAGGAGCTCCTCTGCGATTTTGGAAAAGCTGAGGTCGAATCTCTACTTTTCATCTTTTGGTTTTGTATGGGAGACGCCATTATGTCTACTTCTCCGTCCAATACCTTGTACATACTCACGATTAGGAAGCTGTTTTCAACCTTTAAAGTCTGCTTTGCTTTTGCTTTAATGTCTAATGTATCTTGAGCATTGAGAAAATGGGATTTCGTCATGGTTCCAGCTGTCTCCAGTGCCTCTTCCATACATTCCTGAGCAACCTCATCTTGACAATGGGAAATTTGCAGAATTATCTGTGTGGTGCTGTTCTGCTCCAGATGGATAAGATAGCCGTACTTGGCCAATCAGAGCCTTTCACTTCAAGCTAGCAAACCCCATTTGGGGGAACGGCCAGTATCGGCCAATCCCCTGTAAGCTTCCCTACCAATCACCACGGAAATTCGATTATGGCCATTGAGACACTGTTTTTTGAACAACATATCACCACGCATTCCTCTCTACCTTAGTAGTACTCTTTCTTCAGTTGGCAGCCGATTGGTTTCTATTCTTCACTCTCGTCCTAGGGCATACGGCTTCTAGATAAACGAGCTCCTTTGGTGACTGCAAGCTCCCAGTACCTCAACAGACGATTTAGCAGTTGCCATGATATGTGCTATCCTCCAAATGCTACGAAATTCCCTGTCGTGGAACGTTGATCTATAGCCTCTTGATCCTTTTATAAGCTTTTCATAGTATAAAGATGCCTCTTAAGAGGTTTAGCTTCACAGCATGGATAGACAGACCTGTGTTGAATAATGAAAAATGGGCAATATGCCTCAACTGATTTGAGATATGCTTCATGGTAACTTGAGTCCCATTTCAACGCATAGACTTGCCTTGGGTGCTGGGAAACCAATGTGTTCCCTAAAACTACCTAGGAATTGAATAGCTTCATTGGAACGGTGTTCTTGTAAGCAAATTTAGTCTACTGAGTCTATGAGTAAGTCGTGAGTGTAGGGCTGTCTTCCCCGTGTCCCATAGTGGGCATTGAAAATATGGCAGATACTTTGCATTTGCCGCAAGTATGCAATCAACGCCGTGTTAAACTCGACTTGGAATCATCGCAAGCCCGCAGAACCATAAGCATATTTTAAATTTTTTTAAGCCAAACTTTTCTTTCATCACATCGTTTATCCAGTTCGTCTCAGGCCGGGCCCAACATCTACATCAAACACGCGACCTGGCGACTGCTGCACAGATCTGATGAAGCAACCTTAACGCGTGTAGACGCTCCAACCCAGGTGTACGCCTCCACGAGCCACTCATACCACACCTTTGTATCGTCTGTTTGACGCCACATACTGACCTCGAGCTCGGTATCAGCTGGGAAGTAAAGAGGTTTCTGTGAAGCTGTTAGTGTTATACTACCTGATAACAGTGACATTAACTTACCTTGAGGGGGAAGAAGATGGGGAACCACGAGATCATGTCCTTGCTCTTGTCATCAATACGTTCTGGGTGTGTGCTAATCTCAATCTTCGCGCCCTTGTTCTCAGGAATCTGAGACTCATACAGCGTCGACTCAAAGTAACCGGCCAAACCGTGGGTAACACCTCTTGTTCTACAAACGAACGTCAGATGGCAATACCGCGAGTTATGGTCGTTAGCACCAGCAGCACCAGCCATGCTACCACCGCCACCACCAACAACACCACCTGATCGCTTCGCCTCGAGAGCGGCGAGCGACGATTCGGGAATGGGATGCGAGAATTCCCAAGCCTCTTGGAATCGAGGCTTGTTAGGTACCCGCTCAGCGACGAAGTCGAGAGCGAAAAGCCGGACAACCCAAGGGGTCTCGAAAGCGTGGGGATCTCCAGGCACTCGCGAGAGGATATCGGCATGGATCTTGGGTGTTGAGATAGGACTCATGTGAGCGGTGTAGCTACTGGGAATCGAGATACCGTGAGGGGTGGACATGACATGCTGGATACCATCGAGACACTCAGGTGACAGCTCGTTATCTCCAAAGGATCCGAGCAGTTCGGAGATGAGAATATCAACCTTGCCATATACAGGTCCATTCTCGTCTTCAGAGACGACAGGGCCCTTCCAAGCACGCATGTCAGTCTTGACAACCTTAACCTTACCGCCCCAGACGAGCTCATTCTGACGCAAAAGATAGACATAGGCATTGGGATTCTTTTCAACAGCCCACATATCGATCGGCACTCCAGCATCTTCAGATGCCTTGAGGGCTCGAGTGACAAGTGGACCACGGCCAGAACCAGCAACTGCAACAACGACCTTGCCGTCTTTGGAGAGAGGCTTCTTCAGCTCCTTCCACTCTGTAAGAGCCTCGAACACAGCAATCTCATACTGGCTATACTTGACGGGATCTCCTTCGAAAACTTCGTACGTAGCTGACTCGAGGTTGTCAGATAGAGGCTGAAGAGGTGACTGTAGCCAGTCCTGGAAGCTGGTCAGGGTAGGGCTCTCGAGGTAAGTGAATGGGGGCTGTTGGTCTTCGAGCCATCGAAGGTAAGAGATGTAGTCATTAGTCTTCACTTGGGAATCTTGTCCCTTAGACAACTGATTCTGTGTCTCTGCTTCGGAGAGGCTGGGAAACTCATCCTGGGAGGTAGGAGGAAGTTGAGGGCCGTCCTTGAGGTGGGACACGTCAGGGCCAACGTCGCAAAGAAGGATCCAGGGAACATTCTTCAATCTCATATACGAGAAGATGAGATTCTGGTGATGCTTGGACAGCGAAGGGAAACCAGCCTTGTTCGTCTGGAAAGTGGATGGTGTGAGAGTGAGGTAGTGCAGGGGCTCCGCGAACCAACGGTCCTGAAGGTCCTTCTCAGGCATCACACGAGGGATCTCCAGGGCTTTTTAAGAGGTTAGTATCTACCGATAACAATCAGAGATCAAATTACGTACAGACGAAGAGTCTAGTGTTGTAGTTGCAAACACTGCGGACATGGTGCCATGAATCCCACGCAGCTAGAAGCTCGATTTCCTTTCCTTCAGTCTTGGTAGGAGTCTTCACATCAAGCGAAGAGATGTTGGCCTCTTTTGGCTCTTGAACAGGCTCTCGGTACATGGGCATCTGAATCAAAAAGGTGAGGCGGTTGCCAATGGTAAGAGCTTCCTCTACAGCACGTGAGTACTGAGCAAGACTCTGGTTTCCACCATCAATAGAAGCATCTTGTCGAGGCCCAGGGATGATAATGCTGCGCACACCACAGAAGTTGGCGTAGTTGATCTCAACGTTGAGTACTTGGCGAGAGATGCTGGAGATGATGGGGTTGGAAGAGCCAAGGTCGATCCAGGGGCTGATAACTGCAGTGTAAGTGTTGACAGCAGCGCAGGGAAACAGACTTGTGTCCTTGGTGGTCAGAGGGGGCAGAATAGGCTCTGCTCTTGAACCAGTCGCCGTAGTGGTCGGCTTCTCGCCATTGTTGGAGAGGGTAGAAAGATGCTCAGACACTAGCGCAAAGACGCGGTCTCGGAAGTGAGTGTTTGTGATGGGAGTCGTTGCAAAGGCCAGCTACCCAGAGAGTCAATTGGAAATCCCAGTAGTTTTAGACTGCAAGAACGAGAGCGTTCTTAACGGCTCCTAGAGGCCGTTGACGTGGATGATTTGCGACTTACACCATGGTTGAGCAGATGGCCATACTGTAAATCAGTGAGGGGCTCGTTGCTGTTCGAGTTGTGGTATCCAATGTGGAAACTGGGTCGCTGAAGGCCGAAACCATCAGACATATCGAAACCTGCGTCTTCAGAAGCCATGATTGTATGTATAGGCTTATCTAGAAATGGCGTACGTTGTTGTTTGAAGCTACCTTGATCAAGGAGAAACAGTAAAGTTGAGATTTCGGTAGTGGAGTAAATTCACCCCGCCAAAGCTCTAATTGTGCGAAGTGGGATGAATGGCCAGGTTTCAAAATCTGCCAGAAAGGGGAAGTTGTCGAACCGAGACAAGGTAAGCAGTTGGAGGAATGAGGACTTTCTAATACGTATAGACACAATAATCGTTTGTTTCTAATAAAGGTATGAAACAATTTCTGATTGTTGATGTTACAAACTCGCCCTTGGAAAGAAGAGCTGATGATTTTCACGACAGAGGACCCTGAAAGTGGGCACAGTGTACGCTATCTTAGTAGAGGAAGTGTAGGTACCTGCATTTTACGATGGAGGACGATTGGCAAATGGCTATCCTTTTAAATTTCTTTCTTTTAACTGAAGAAATTTTGAACATATCATCTAATTATCTGGTTTTTAATGATGTTGTATTAAACATGTGTGTATTACAAGCAACCTCGACAACGTTACAACGCTATAGGCCTTGCCCAGTAGATCGGCGGATCTGATACACTGTATGACAAGGACTCTTATCGATAAGCGTCCGCCTTCTCAGTCCCGCCAAAATTTTCTAGCAAAACGACCGCCAAAAACATCACGGCCTTTCTTCTTCAGCCTCGCCACTGTTTCTCTTTTTCTCCTCCTCCTCCTCCTACTCCTTCTCGCTTTGTCATCAGCGAAACAATGTCTGACTATATGGGAGGAAAGCGATCAAGCGCCGACGCTGACGAGTCAACTCGAAAGAAGGCCAAGAAAGAAGGCGGCGATGCTGAAAAGTATAACCCTTACCTTGCTCACATGCATGACAACGGGGATAGCAATGGTTATGGCGAGGAGCCTTCTCCCGACT